CCCAAAACCCCCAGTTTTTGGCAAAAAATGGGGGTAATTCAACCAGGCCGGCTATGTTGTCTTTATGCAATCAGAAAATTGCACATAAAAGCTCCCAAAGACCCTGAAGACCCCCAGTTTTTGACATGCTATGGAGGCTAAGCTTCTGGTTTGTCATTGAAGGTTAGACAACCAGCAAAAGAGATACATAAGAGCACAGTTACTCAAGCAAATTGACTCAGATTTTGAAAGCTGTAGCTTCCACTACTTTCCATCATTGCCCAAATGTTATGCCCTTGGGAAAGGCACTTTAGAAGTTTCATGTCTCATCACTTAACTCGGTTGAAAATGGGCACCTAGCTTTGATTGGCGACATTCCACAGAATAGGACCCATATTTGAGGATAGCCACACGTGGAGCATGTTATTGTTAAAGATCCCAATGCACTTATCGAAAAGAGTAGGGGTCCATCCCGGCACGTGTGTATGTTATTCAGCCTTCCAGTCCGGTGTTACACAACTTGTACTTAATACACAAAACCGGTGCATTAGACCTAAAAGTGGTTTACTTGTTAACAATTACCTGCATGTGTATATTTACTGTGCAGTGTACTGATTACTAGTAATATTCCTACATACACATCAAAAGATATATATAGACTAATACTCTACCTAACTGAAAGCTTGGTCTGCTTTCCATAGATGTATTTGAAAGATGTTGGTTGGATCAAAGGATTCATCCACTCTCTATCTATATCTTGTAGGTTGGAATCCTGGCTTGCATGTAGCATTGAACTTCTATGAATACCTCTGGTGGAGGTTACAGCCCTTAGGCCACACCAATTTAATTTGTTGGTTCTTGGATTCTGGTTCTGAATCAACTCAAAAACGCTCATATAAAAAAGGTGCCCCCGACAGTTGAGAAAAGTCTGGCCGTGAGCAGTTGCGAGCATCGTTTGTTGCGCAAGTGGTTCGTTGCACGAGTTGTACGTGCTGACAATGTACGATATCCGTGCGATTACAACTTTACCGTAAGGAGGCCGTACTCACACGTGCATCTTACGTACGGTATGTACAGTGCACGCGCGTCACACGTACGGGTGGTGAATCCACAGACCGCACGAAGAAAAAGTTTTACATGCACTTAGTTCTACGGCGTGTCTGCATGCTCCCAAATCTGTAGAATTCCGTACAAATGTGGTACTCTCCACTTACGGATCCTCTACGTTTGCCCACATTTTTTCACATTGACAGCACACAGATGCACGTACGGCGGGTTGTGGTGACTGAGGCTTTAATGTTACATTATGCACCAAGAAGAAGAGTATCCTGACATGATGACACATAGACCTTGCATGAGACTTTGGCAGGACCGTAACTCATTAAACATGAAGGATTAAAGGATTAAACAAGTACACACCAAAAGGTCAAGCTGAGAATCATTTACTACTAGTATCGTACAGACTGACAAGAAAAAATATTACACTCCTGATTCTACATCTATCAACAACATGAAGGTACATCAATGACATCCGTAACCTTTGTGTCCAATATATTTGGACAATAAGTCGTTGGTTCATGGTTTGAACTGCACATGTGAGTTTAATGGTAAAGGCCCCTATGGCCATGTTGATTTGATTATATGAATGACATCCTCTGGGAACCCCAAAACTGATGCGAGCGTGCAAATAAAAAAAGGTTTGGCAAAAAAAAGTTGCTTTCATTATGAAATCTACATGGTTTTGAAGGTTGAACAAATGACACAGAGTATGGTATGGCGAATAATCTAGTCCTCAAATTCATTTCTTTACATTTTGGTCTTTTTCGTTTGATTTTGGCATTCTACGACATTGGTATATATATCGTTTTTCAATATTTTTTTTTGCAAATTACGGTATATATTTGCTCATTTTGCAACTGTTTTGTATGATTTACAGTATGGTTGAAAACTTTATTTTTTTGGAAACGGCCGAAATTCATGTATGCGCGGATGTTATCCATATAATCAAATCAACATGGCCCAACAGTTCTTGTGTAGACCATGTTTGATACATGTCCAGATGTGTTTTATTTACGTCCCAAGGGCTTTCAACTTTGACATGTTACCTGTCATGCATAACGCTGCACGTGCAAAGTTCAACACATGAACCGGCTTATTCAGAACACAAATATGTCTGCAGGAAGCAAGATTTCAAAGAGGCAGAAAAAAAATCCAAGTAGCACATGTGTCATCTACATAACACGATGTTACAGATCTGAAGTGGAGTTGTACAGTCAAAAATTTCACTAAGTCCAATTCCTTGTGTTGGAAAGTACAGTCGAAAACTTGTTTCATAATGACTTCTACCAACACAAATGAACTTTCAAGGTAACTTTATCTAAATATATACAAAATTGACGAGAAATGTAGTTATTTAAAAAAATGTATTTTACATGTCAGAAGAAATCGGTTGCTTTTTTCCTGGTGGGTCTTGTATTTGGCAGGTTTAGGAGGTTATCGGACAGAGAGGAAGTGTCTGTACTCGTGCTCGCGCTGGCGACAGTCGGAGTTTTCCCATGTCTCGGCGAGCGGCGTACGCTCAGAGGAGTGTTCCGCGGCGTGAGTCTTACAGGCGTGTTTCCCGCGCCCAAGCGAGCAGGGGAGGGGCTGTAGCTCGCTCGTAGCGCCTTGTCCGTCGTGCTACGCCGTGACGAAGCTCGGTTGATGAGTCTCTGAGCGGCCGGCGACATGGTGTTGAGTCGGTCCATGGACTTCAGCGAACCAAAAGTTGGAGTAGGGCTGGAGGAGGACAGAAAGAAAGACTCAGGTCACTAAATTAACTTTCAGCTTGTTAAGTATCTACATAATAGACCCATTCGACTTTCACGGATCGCATAACCTGCTTAAGTCACTGGGGGGACATTTCGAAAGTTCCTTTCATGCGGGACGCATAAACTGCATACGTCACAGAACAAAATAACCTTAAATTGTTGTACGGAATGCCACCATACAAAGTTGGTGCCTGTTTTCATGTCATTTCCGCACATATTACCGAGAAAATAGACACTTACCTACCTTTTAGTAAAAAATGATCTGCCAGGGGGGACACCGCGAGCGCAAGCCGCGTTTGACTTCAGCGTTCTAGAACAACGTTCTTTCAAAATGTCCCCTCTGTGACGTAGGCAGTTTATGCGATCGGTGAAAGTCAAATGGGTCTATTTGCAATGGATATGGGGTTTGGCAGTAGGGAGATGGTTAAATAAAAAAACACTGTAAATATGACATATCTTTCAAATATGACATGTCACAACTTTCAAATGTATAATTATATATAATATGAAACTTTATAATTCTAAATGTCACGACAAATTCAAGGAATTATGACCTGAAGAGCAAGATACCAGGGATAAGAAATTTCAGACCTCCAGAAACCCAAATTTTTGGGTTTTCATAAAATTTATTGAAAGCCTCAGTTGTGCAGTGCAAGCACGTCTAACTCTCGGAAGACGGGGAACAACAGACGATAAACCGGACAGTGAGTGAGTGAAACTGTGGAGGGGATTGTATGATGTACCAGTATTTCATTCGGGTATTACACACAGTCCATCACTTCCGGAAATCCTGCACCAACAGCCCACTTCCTCCAACATAGTATGTGCTGCATCATCTTCACACACAATCTTCCTGTCATCAATCAGGAATCAGGAATCCTAGAACTATCACAGAGTGGAACTCACTGTCACCAAGTACAGTAGGGGCATTGTCATTAGATAGCTTTAAACAATAGTTAGATGTTCAAGGGCTAGGTGTAACAAGTCGATCGGTGTGATGTAGCCAGCTGCCACTGCGCCGCGTGCCTGCGAAACTGGTGTGTTACGCCGGAAGACGGTTATTCCGGCTATACAGATCAAGTAACCAAATATCCACCCACTCTCCCTGCAACTGTCTCTGCTACACAAACATACGCACAAACCCACAGACAAACCCGCCCTAAACAATACCTTTGTACCCAGAGGCTATAATAAAACATTATAGGCAGACACATACTCTTATAAGCAAGAAAAGGGAAGTTAAGTAAGTCCAGTAAGGATCTGAAATGTAGGACATCGAAAATAACACGGTCCAAATTCCTTGTTCGAAATCTTTTTACTGTGACAGCTTCTTTCCCCGTACGGCCAAGCTTTGGAATTCCCTCCCTGACAAGTGTTTCCCACCAACCTACAATCTATAGGCTTTCAAATCAAACGTTCACCGCCATCTCTTGACATAGCCATGTTTTTTTTTTTCATATTTCTAGTTCAATGCCGAGAAGTGGTCATATAGGCCTTGCATTGAACCACTCCGTTAAAAAAAAAATCTCCAAAATGAAAGTCACAATATAATAATCGAAATCCTTTCCCACCCACACCATTCACAGTCCGCTGACCATATCAGAGCGTACATAAACTCTATGCATGACTCTATTGTGAAGGATTGGGAGAGTTTTAGGGGTCTGATTGCTTTGGGACTGGAAGCCTTCCTACCAAATTGATTCATATTTCATTCCAGTCAGCTCCCATCAGGTTTGCCTTTAAATTTTGGCCTGAGGCCACACCAATTTAATTTCTTGGTTAACGGATTCGCCCGCTTCGTTTTTTTCTGATTTGAAAATAAAAATAAAAATTCAGAATCAACTGCAAAATGCTCATATTTTGCCCTGAACAGTTGAAAACAGTACTTTTCTTCCTAGTTGTTACAGTTATTCCATCTTTCATTACAGTGGTATCATTAAAAGTTCAAAATTTTACAACTTGAAAATTTTAACAGTGTACGACATAAACAAACTCCAAACAGCAATTTTCGTCCACAAAGTCTTACACAAAAGTTCACAATTACCAGTTCAATTCAAGGACATATTTCAATACAACTCAGATATCCACAGTTACAGTACCAGAAAGCAAAATGATTTAAGGCCAATCCTAACAAAATCAAATATGAAACAGTTTACGATAATGTTTAGAGGCCCGTTAATTTGGAACAGTATAAGTCATTCACAGCAGAATTGCCAATCCCTTCCAACTTTCAAACGACATTTAAAAACTGACCTAATAGAGAAGCCATCTACCACTTCCTGATTTGCTTTTGTTTTCCTTGTTTTCTTATGCTACGGTATTTTCCTTGCGTTAATATTGGTTTCTTATGTTGTTCTTACCATATTAACTTATGATTTGACTAATGGAAATGTATTTTTTGTTGAATACGATATGTTTTTGATTGTCTTACTTTATTGTTTAGATATTTAGTTTGCCGTGTTAACTTTATATTATCTTGTTTGAGTTAATTTTCTCTTGTTTGTCCCTTAAGACATGCATGTTAATTGTTAACGTAAATAATGCTGTAAATATGAGATCATCAACAGGATTTGGGAGAGCCCACTAGATAAACCTCCTGGTTTCTTGGGCTCTCCTGCATGTATTTGATTGTACATAATTTCTTTTTATACCATTACTTTTTTTATGTGCGAAAGGACAATAAACAAAACAATAAACAAAGTTTACCCTCTGATAAGTGAGTATTTTCAAAGTAGAAATCAATCTTTTACTGTTTTGACACATTTTCTTCCGGCTAGAAAAATAGGAATCTTTCCCAAGTTTTTACTAGCAGGTGGGCTAACAGATTTTTTTATATCATTTTGACCATCAAGATACATGTATACAAACATATGCTATATTAAAATAACCGAAATCATAGCTTTTCTTATCACCGACAAACCAAAAAGATATTTCTTGTATCTTGTTCTTGGGATGGAAAGATCAAATTCTTACAAACCATAGTTCAATGAAGTCATGAGCACTTAGATTATCGAGGCTTTAGTCTCACTGCGAATGTACGTGCA